ATGCCAGGTGTGCCGCGCCCCCCTTCTACTACCACCATCATCACCGCTCCCACGCCCACGCTGCCCACTCTGCCCACGCTGCCCACTCTGCCCACTTTGCCCACGCTGCCCGCGCTCCATACGACCACGCCAGCCGCCCGTCTTTTGACAGACCTCCTCACAGCCGTCCTTCGTTCGACAGACCTCCGCCTCACGCCCGCCCGTCCTTCGACAAAGCGCCGCCCTCTCGCCCCTCCTTCGACCGACCTCCCCATCACCACCGTCCGTCGTTTGACCGCCCGCCTCACGCCCGCCCGTCCTTCGACAAAGCGCCGCCGGCTCGACCCTCCTTCGACAAAGCCCCGCCCACTCGCCCCGTGTACGAGCGCCCGTCCAGAGAACGCCCAGGCCCAGAGCGGTGGGCCCCCCGTGTGCGTGTGAGCCCCGCCAACACCGTCTACATGTTGGACCAGGAGGAGGTAAGAGTCTGGAAGGTCTGATCACACCCAGAACATCTCCACCACCACGAGCACCAAAAACATCTCACCACCCACAAGGACCACCACCCAACAACCCATCTCCAACCATCACCGACCATCACCGACCATCACCAACCATCACCAACCAGAACCTACAACCATCTCCATCCATCTCCAACCATCACCGACCAGAACCTACAACCATCTCCATCCATCACCAACCATCACCAACCATCACCAACCATCTCCATCCATCACCAACCATCACTGACCATCTCCAACCATCACCAACCAGAACCTACAACCATCTCCATCCATCACCAACCAGAACCTACAACCATCTCCATCCATCACCAACCATCACCAACCATCACTGACTATCTCCTACCACCACCACCCAACAAACCATCTCCACCTCTGCTGTCGTGTGGTTTCTCTGTAACAGGTTTGTCTCGTTCTCAGTTCGTGTTCAGGCTCATGTGAAGTTCAGAACCTCCAGATCTCCTCCCTGAGCTGCAGAGGCTGCACTAGCACTGACCCAAAGACCGTTCAGATCAGAAACGTTTTAGGGTTGACCTGGATTTGTTCTTGAATTGTTTTTGGCACTAAGAGTAAATCTGCCCTGAGAGTCCGAGATGTTTGGTTTGAACATCGAACCTGAGGAGACGGAATTTTAAAAACTTTTCAAATAATTATTTTACAGTGACAGTTTGGTGTTTGGTGGACTCTCTGTGACAGAGGTGAACCCTCTGGCGGTTTGGTGGATGGTCTGGTGGGTTCTCTGGTCTGGTGGGTTCTCTGGTTTGGTGGGTTCTCTGGTCTGGTGGGTTCTCTGGTTTGGTGGGTTCTCTGGTTTGGTGGGTTCTCTGGTCTGGTGGGTTCTCTGGTCTGGTGGGTTCTCTGGTCTGGTGGGTTCTCTGGTTTGGTGGGTTCTCTGGTCTGGTGGTTCTCTGGTGGTTCTCTGGTCTGGTGGGTTCTGGTCTGGGTTTCTGGTCTGGTGGGTTCTGGTGGTCTGGTTGGGTTTCTGGTGGGTTCTCTGGTTGGTGGTTCTGGTGGTGGGTTCTCTGGTTTGGTGGGTTCTCTGGTCTGGTGGGTTCTCTGGTTTGGTGGGTTCTCTGGTTTGGTGGGTTCTCTGGTCTGGTGGGTTCTCTGGTTTGGTGGGTTCTCTGGTCTGGTGGGTTCTCTGGTCTGGTGGGTTCTCTGGTTTGGTGGGTTCTCTGGTTTGGTGGGTTCTCTGGTCTGGTGGGTTCTCTGGTTTGGTGGGTTCTCTGGTCTGGTGGGTTCTCTGGTCTGGTGGGTTCTCTGGTCTGGTGGGTTCTCTGGTTTGGTTCTCTGGTTTGGTTTCTCTGGTCTGGTGGGTTCTCTGGTTTGGTGGGTTCTCTGGTTTGGTGGGTTCTCTGGTCTGGTGGGTTCTCTGGTTTGGTGGGTTCTCTGGTTTGTTGGACCTGCGGTGACAGTTTGGTGTCACCTGAGCTAAACTCTTCCCCGGTGTGAGTTCAGTGTGAGTCCAGCAGAGGGCAGTGTTCTCAAACTTTTCACTGGAGCAGCTCAAGTCCAGAGAGAAACAGAAAAGAGAAAAGAGAGAAGAGAGAGAGAGAGAGAGAGAGAGAGAGCGCCTGTCAGCGAGGAAGGGGGGCACCTGTCTGCACCTGTCTGCACCTGTCTGCCCCGGGGCGGTGATGCCTGATCTCAGACCGGTGCTGCCTGGTTAAACGTCCGGCTAATGAGAGAAAAACGCCGCGTCTAATTGAGCCAATCAGGAAGAAGAAGGAGGCGTCGCCATGGAGACAGACAAACCTCATCCATATTCATGCCTGTCAGTCACCTCACGCTCCCCCGTTCACTACGCTCCATCCCTCCATCCTTCTCTTTCTCCGTCTCTTTTCTTGAAGTGTTGGTTTTACACTTTTTGTGTTAATCGTTCCACATCATCAGTTTATTAAAGTCAGATTCTGTCTTTTTTTTGTTTTTTGTTTTAAAGACTCAAATATAATCCAGATTTCACGTCGTCCAAACAAAACTTCTGTCATTTTATTTCCTCCTTCCTCCTCCTGTTTCTGCTCGTCTCCATGGAGATATAAACGTTTAAAGCTGTACACTGGAACATCTCAGGCAAAACTACAACGTCTCCAGGTTCAGACAGGTTCCACAGTGCAGCTTTAATCCTCCGTTTGTAATCAGAGAGACACACTCACCTGTCCTCACCTGTCCTCATCCTCACCTGTCGTCACACTCACCTGTCCTCAGACTCACCTGTCCTCAGACTCACCTGTCCTCACCTGTCCTCATCCTCACCTGTCGTCAGTCTCACCTGTCGTCAGTCTCACCTGTCCTCATCCTCACCTGTCGTCACACTCACCTGTCGTCAGTCTCACCTGTCGTCAGTCTCACCTGTCCTCATCCTCACCTGTCGTCACACTCACCTGTCCTCACAATCACCTGTCGTCACACTCACCTGTCGTCAGTCTCACCTGTCGTCAGTCTCACCAGTCTCACCTGTCATCAGTCTCACCTGTCGTCAGACTCACCTGTCTCTCTGTGTGGCAGGTGCACCCGCTCCTGATGCGGGAGCGGCGCTCGGAGAGGAACAAGCTGCTGCGTCGAACAGTGAGCGTCCCGGTGGAGGGACGTCCCCACGAGACGGGTGAGTAACCCCCCCGACACACACACCCCCCCGACACACACACACCCCCGACACACACACACCCCGACACACACACACACCCGACACACACACCCCCGACACACACACACACACACACAAACACACACACACACCGACACACACACCCCCGACACACACACACACACACACCTGACACACACACACACACACACACACACACACCCGACACACACACACACACCCACGACACACACACACTCCCCGACACACACACACACACTGACACACACACACACACACACACACAGACACACACACACACACCGACACACACACACACACCACCACACACACACACACTGACACACACACACACCCGACACACACACACCCACACACACACACACACACACACACACACACACACACACACCCCGACACACATACACACACACACACACACACCCCGACACACACATACACACACACACACACACACACCCGACACACACACACACACACCTGACACACACACACACACCCGACACACACACCCCCGACACACACACCCCGACACACACACACCGACACACACACCTGACACACACACAACACACACACACACCCGACACACACACACCCGACACACACACACACACACACACCTGACACACACACACACACCTGACACACACACACCCCGACACACACACACACCCGACACACACACACACCTGACACACACACACCGACACACACCCCCGACACACACACACACACCTGACACACACACACATACACACCCGACACACACCCCTGACACACACACACACCACACACACACACACACACCCACCGACACACACACACACACACACACCTACACACACATATACACACACACCCCACACACACACAGCCCTGCCCCCCCAAACACACCCGCCCCCACACCCCCCTGTCGACTCTCCCAGTGCATTATGGTCCTTTGGTGAGTTTCAGATGACATCATCACGTTCTATTGGTCAATAATATATTTTATAATAATTAACACAGAAGAAGAAGCAGATAAAGTTAATCTTGTTCAGATGCAGATTTTTGTTGTTTTGCAGCAGGTTTTGGGTCCGGGTCAGAAATAGAAATAAAAATGTTTGGGTTTCATATTTGATCAGTTGTTTGTCCAGTATTTGATGTGATCAAAAGGAAAAATTGGAGTCTGAAATCATCACATCATCATCATCATCATCATCATCATCACATCATCATCATCATCATCATCATCATCATCATCATCATCATCATCATCATCATCATCATCATCATCATCATCATCATCATCATCATCATCATCATCATCATCATCATCATCATCATCATCATCATCATCATCATCATCATCATCATCATCATCATCATCATCATCATCATCATCATCATCATCATCATCATCATCATCATCATCATCATCATCATCATCATCACATCATCACATCATCATCATCGTCACGTCTGAAGCCTAAAATCTGAAAAACACAAACACTGACGACTCTGACCCCGACACACAACTGTTCAAGGTGAAGAGCACAACTTTCACCTCCTGGACATTTGGACACGACTGACACGACTGACAAGAGTGACACGAGTGACAAGAGTGACACGACTGACAGGAGTGACACGACTGACACGACTGACAGGAGTGACAGGAGTGACAGGAGTAGAGTCCTGTGGAGGAAACAGACTCTGAGTTTCTGTACAAAAGTTTCACCGTCGAGTTTATTTCCTCTGTTTTCACATGATTCAGTCAAAAGATTTTTCTGATCTTACTCGTGTTTTAGAGTTTTAGAGTTTTAGAGTCGTTCTCTCGTCAGAAACTTCACGTTGTTTCAATTGATTCTTTCGTGTTTAATCGTGTTTCAGTTTGAGTTTTCACTTTCCCCCTGTCCCCGCCCACTGTCTGTCTGCACCTGCCGTTACTGGAAAAAACAAAAAGTGACTGTGCCATTTCGCTCCTGTCCTGCTCCTGTCCTGCCCCTGTCCTGCTCCTGTCCTGCTCCTGTCCTGCTCCTGTCCTGCCCCTGTCCTGCTCCTGTCCTGCTCCTGTCCTGCCCCTGTCCTGCTCCTGTCCTGCTCCTGTCCTGCCCCTGTCCTGCTGTCCTGTCCTGCTCCTGTCCTGCTCCTGTCCTGCTCCTGTCCTGTCCTGTTCCTGTCCTGCTCCTGCTCCTGTCCTGCTTCCTGTCCTGCTCCTGTCCTGCCTGTCCTGCTCCTGTCCTGCCCCTGTCCTGTTCCTGTCCTGCTCCTGTCCTGTTCCTGTCCTGCTCCTGTCCTGCCCTGTCCTGCTCCTGTCCTGCCCCTGTTCTGCTCCTGTCCTGCTCCTGTCCTGCTCCTGTCCTGCTCCTGTCTCCTGCTCCTGTCCTGCCCCTGTCCTGGTCCTGTCCTGCCCTGTCCTGCTCCTGTCCTGCTCCTGTCCTGCTCCTGTCCTTATCTGGAGAGTTCCGCTGATGTGAGGAGCTTATGTAACGGCACAGACCTCTGACTGACGAGTCCGTGGGCCGTTCTGATGTAACTGTCTCCTCCGAGCTTCAGCGTCCACAGACCGAGAGAAACAAGACACACGAAAGGAAACGAGACACACGAAAGGAAACAAGACACACGAAAGGAAACAAGACACACGAAAGGAAACAAAAGGAGACACACGAAAGGAAACGAGACACATGAAAGGAAACGAGACACACGAAAGGAAACGAGACACACGAAAGGAAACGAGACACACGAAAGGAAACAAGACACACGAAAGGAAACGAAACGAGACACACGAAAGGAAACGAGACACACGAAAGGAAACGAGACACACGAAAGGAAACGAGACACACGAAAGGAAACGAGACACACGAAAGGAAACGAGACACACGAAAGGAAACGAGAACACGAAGGAACGAGACACACGAAAGGAAATGAGACACACGAAAGGAAAGGAAACGAGACACACGAAAGGAAACGAGACACACGAAAGGAAAGGAAACGAGAGGAAATCAGACCTGAGTTCACACACTCAGAGCTGCAGTTGTGATTGTTTCATTCACATGTTTCACACAAACCTGCACATTTAACACGAGTTCTTCTCACAAACAGAAAACACTCTGTTCCACCTCGTGATGTCATCATGTGGTGATACAGGAAGGAAGTGCTCCACTGTGTTTTTAAACTCCACACTTCACCTTCACGAGAATCATCGGGAACATTTCAGTCCTGGAGTTTCTTTTCTGATCTCGACTGAACTAATGTTAAAAGGAGCTGATCACTTTGAAACTACCACTTGATGACATCACAAGGTGGAATGGAGCGTTTGGAGTTTTGCAGATGTAAACAGACTCAGAATAATAAAGATTTACTCAAACATGTGAATGAAACAGACACGACTCCAGCTCTGTGTGTGTGAGGGTTTGATTCTCTCAGGAGTCAGTTTGTGTGATGTTGGACCTGTACAGATATTTATATATTTTTATATATGTATATTTTTTTATATATTAATATTTTTGGCTTTTGTTTTTTATATTTTTATTTGACCTTTTTTCTAGTTGTGATTTTCGATTAAAACTCTGTAAAACAGTTCGAATGAGGCTGAAACATCTCCAGGACTGAAATGACCCAGGTGATTCTATTGAAGGTGAAGTGTGGAGTTTAAAAACACAGTGGAGCACTTCCTGTATCACCACATGATGACATCACAAGGTGGAACAGAGCGTATTCAGTTCGAGAGAGAAAGAGAGAGAGTCAGATCAGCAGATCTGTGGAGAGTAACACTCCTCAGGACAAAAGTGTCTCTCCTCTGTGTCCCGCAGCATCACAGCATCCTCCAGGGGGCGCCACATGAACACAGGAAATACTACTACTACTACTACTACTACTACTGCTACTACTACTACTACTACTACTACTACTACTACTGCTACTACTAGCTACTACTACTGCTACTACTACTACTACTACTACTACTACTACTACTACTACTACTGCTACTACTACTACTACTACTACTACTACTACTACTACTACTACTACTACTACTACTACTACTACTACTACTACTACTACTACTAGCTACTACTACTACTACTACTGCTACTACTACTGCTACTGCTACTACTACTACTACTACTACTACTACTACTACTACTACTACTACTACTACTGCTACTACTACTACTACTACTACTACTACTACTACTACTACTACTACTACTACTACTGCTACTACTACTACTACTACTACTACTACTACTACTACTGCTACTACTACTGCTACTACTACTACTACTGCTACTGCTACTGCTACTACTACTGCTACTACTGCTACTACTACTACTACTACTACTACTACTACTACTAGCTACTACTGCTACTGCTACTACTACTACTACTACTACTACTGCTACTGCTACTACTACTACTACTACTACTACTACTACTACTACTACTACTACTACTGCTACTACTACTACTACTACTACTACTACTGCTACTACTGCTACTACTACTACTACTACTACTACTACTACTACTACTAGCTACTACTACTACTACTACTACTACTACTACTACTACTTACTACTACTACTGCTACTACTACTACTACTACTACTACTACTACTACTACTACTACTACTGCTACTACTACTACTACTACTACTACTGCTACTACTACTACTGCTACTACTACTACTACTACTACTACTACTACTACTACTGCTACTGCTACTACTGCTACTACTACTACTACTACTACTACTGCTACTGCTACTGCTACTACTGCTACTACTACTACTACTACTACTACTACTACTACTACTACTACTGCTACTACTACTACTACTACTACTACTACTACTACTACTACTACTACTACTACTGCTACTGCTACTACTACTACTAGCTACTACTACTACTACTACTACTACTGCTACTACTACTGCTACTACTACTACTACTACTACTACTACTACTACTGCTACTACTACTACTGC